TGAATAGTCCCTCTCTAAACCAGGTAGATAGTAATTATTTGTGTCCAATTTATGACTATCTTAGTATAGCATCATAGAATGGTTTGGGTGGGAAGGGGCTTTGCAGATCATCTCATTCTAACCCCCCGCCATGGGCAGGGACACCTTCCACTAGACCAGATTGCTCCCAGCCCCATCCAACCTGGACTCAGACACTTCCAGGGATGGAGCATCCACAAACCAGGTAGATAGTAATTATTTGTGTCCAATTTATGACTATCTTAGTATAGCATCATAGAATGGTTTGGGTGGGAAGGGGCTTTGCAGATCATCTCATTCTAACCCCCCGCCATGGGCAGGGACACCTTCCACTAGACCAGATTGCTCCCAGCCCCATCCAACCTGGACTCAGACACTTCCAGGGATGGAGCATCCACAACTTCTCTGGGCAACATGTGCCAGTGTCTCATCAGCCTCACAGAGAAGATTTTATTCCCAATATCCAATCTAACTCTGCCCTCCATCAGTTTGAAGCCATTCCTCCTTATTCTGTCAGTCCAGGCCCTTGTAAAAAGTATAAAGTTTCTCTCTGAATTTCCTGTAAGGTCCCCTTTAGGCACTGAGTATGTCTTACCTGTGTGGAAGAAGGAATGGATTTTGACCTCACGCGAGCTCTCCCAGATGCAGCATCAGCTGCCTGTGGGAGAGTTTCAGCTGATAGACACTTGCTGGTGCAGCTCCCATCCTCTTCATTGGGATTGCACCTGCTAGTCACACTCAGTGGGGGAACAAAATGCGAAGGTGGAAAAACATCTGGCAATTTTTCTTTACAGAGAGCTTGGCAGAAAACCTCATCCTTTTGCATCGTCCTACTCTCATTTGGGTTGGAAATCTTGCTGGGAAGCCCTTTGGGATGTGACAGCCTCTTCTGCAGGGGTGGCTTATGCAGTGGGAGGTGTTGTGAACCACCTGGTCTTTGACTGATCTTTCGTTCCATGTATTCCATCAGTGCAGTGTGCTGGATTTGTTTCAGCTCTGTCCTGGAGATACTTGAACTGGAAAGTGCCCTCCCTCTGTTTTCCAGAACCCTTCTCTGGGCTGCCACTATATCTGGCTCAGTGATTTCATCCCTGACTTGACTCCATGATACTTCCTTATCTGTTAGCTGATCGAGCTTCTCAGGCTCAGAATAGCACAGTTTCTTTTCCTCTTTGTTTGCCCTTTTCCTTCCCCCTACTCGACCTGTTTGTGGCCTCCTTATTTCTTCATCTCTATTGAAACTTTCCAAAGATTCTAGATGAGAAGGGGAGCAAGGAACAAGTTTGGCATCTTCCCTTGCGCTGGATAACGAGAAGGACTGAAGGTGTTGAATTGATGGTCTTTTGGAAGGTTTCTGTCTCAGTCTGACAGGCAAACTCATCTGTAAGTCCTTTCTTTTAAAGGAGGTTTCTCTGAGAACCTTCTTCTGAGCCACTTTGAGTTTCTCTCTATAGTCATTCTTGAAAATCTCATCAGTGAATGAAGCAGGACTCCTGGCACTGAGATCTTCAGTCTGGAGCAGGAGCTCATCAGCACTACACTGATGGTGGTGGCTGGTCCTCTGAAGCTGATGGCTTTCCCTTTGTGTCTCTAGGCACCGTGCTGAGGCAGTGTTGCTGCTTGAAGAAATTTCCTTTGGTGAGCTCCTTGAGTCCTCTTGACTGCGAGTGAGCTTGTTGGGGTGCAAGGTATTGGTGGATTTCCCCCCAGAGAGATAGTAAAGCATGGGAGTTGTCTGCCTAGTTATTTGTTCACCAGTATGGTCCTCCCAAAGCTGCCTGGAAATCTGTGTTTGAAATTCAGGTTGATGTTTCTGAACAGGAGATTCCTCTTGTTCCACACCCATGCTGAGGTCAGGACTGCTGTTACTAGTCTGTGTTTCTTTCTGGACTTCATGTAATAAGTGAGATGTGGAATCTTCCTTTGGTCTGAAAAAAGCGATTTGGTTCATGTTACCACAGCATTCCTGATCCAACTCCTCACACCGAGGGTGCTCTGCTTCTACAGCATCACAGCTGCAGGACAGTGATGATCTCTGCACTTTGGCTTGCTGATTCAGGACTGGTTCCCTAACATCACTTCCAATTTTTCCTTCAGAATCATAGCACTGATATTCATCTGTACAGCTGTTCAGCTTCCTAGAAGCATTTTTAATTAGAAAAGCATTTCCCATATATTTTACATCACAACTGTCCTCAAACACTTCTTGATCCATGTCTGAATACCACTCAGCACAGAGTGGGCCCTGAGCACAGGGCAAGGACCCTTTTCTCTGGCTGTGTCCTGGCATGGTGCTTCGCAGAGACGTTTCTCTAGCAATTGGCTTTCGCACGCCGCAGGGACACTGTCTGACTTCTTGTGCATCATTAACAGCATTGGGGTTGCAATGTGCTGGGTGGTAGGACCTGGAGTTCATCTCTTTGAGAGTTTTATTAGCATGAACTGAATTATAAGCAGAAAGCATTTTGGGGACATTTGCCACAGAATCTGTCTTTAAATACTCTTGAAAAATGAATGAAGAAGGTCTGCTGAAAACGTGTGAACTACTTCTCTTTGTAGGTTGCTGGGATGGGCTCCACTCTCCACTTTCTTCTGTCTTTAAGCACGGAAGTTTTGATCTAGATACCTCATTTGTAGAATCGGGAGAAAGGCCCTTGTCTTCCATAATCTTTTCTTTAGCAGGCCCTATATCTGGCTCTGTAATTTCAGCCCAGTGTTGGTTCCATGGTACATCCCTGTCTGACAGCTGCCTGTCCTGCGTGCCAGGAACTGGCTGCATGCTACACTCACTGTGACCTCCAGAGCCACGTCTCCCTCTTGAATTTTCAAGGTGTCTAGTAATATTATAGCTATCAAGTCGTGTGGGAGGTACTGCCAGAGGTGGCAGGGCCTGATTTAACGTCCCTCTGGTAGGAGTGCTTCCACTGAGGCTGGTGCTGTGAGAGTTGTTATGGGTGCTGAGGTCTGGTGTCTTGTATGGATGCAGAGATCTGAGGTCAGAGTGTGCAGCACTGAGATTATAAATACCTCGTACATATTCTGAGTCCATGTACGGTACCTGCTCTGGAGGCAAACAGCAGTATTCCCCACAGCATGATGGGGTGAGATACTCTGGAACATTTGATCCCCCTGAGAAAGAGCTGTAAGCAGAGTCTGCTCTTCCAGGGAGGTGCAAGGGATGGTCCACACTGCTGACTGACTTCACTGGTGAAAGATGATGATCCTTTTCGGGCTCTATCAACTCTCCAGTTCTGCCACCTTGCCTGTGAGTCCATCTCTCTATCTCATTCCCAGATGAAGCCATACTGTAGTATTTCCAGAAATACAAGTCTGATTAAAAGCCCACAACTGAGTTGTCAGAAAAGAACATTTTTCTCTGTAGTCACATTCCAATAATATCTAGGGGATCCTAAAAACAAAGAGAAACATGTGGAGAAGACTCAGTGGGAGGATTCTCATTGCACATTTTGGGAAACCTTTCCCAGAGGCTTATAGACAGTGGGTTGATGAGAGACTGACAGAGCATCTGAATGACAGACTCTGCCATCAGTAACAAATCACATATTTTAAAAGACAGCCAAATATTTATGGCAGCTGCTAGGAACTCCCCTGCAAACATACCAAATGGACTAGAAAAAAGCACCAGCTTAGAGTTCATGTACAACAAATAAACAAGTTTTACAGAGCCTGGGAAACAGCCTATGTTTATCAGCAGCACTTGACAGCTCCACTCTCGTTGCTGTGCATCATGCCCACAGGTTTAGTTTAACAAATGGATCTCCACAAGCATCTACTCAATGGGCCAACAGAAGACATGCAGGAGATGCTCACAGCAACAGTGTGACCCCCTCAACAGCCTATGCCAGCTTCAACCTCCCCAGCACACTCACAGGCAGTATGAGCCCCTAATAAAAGACTGAACCTGGCACCAGAGAGGTGCTAGCCAGTAACCTTGTTTAGTAATTCTCATTTAAACCAGTTCTAAAGACGGATTAGTTATTAAAAGAAAGCAAACAAAAGGTCTTGGAAACCTTCAGCTGCTCCAGGAACAGGACTTCTGAGGAGACACAAACGGTTTCTAGATCCTTTCAGAATATTACATATCTGATTTCTTCATAAAGGTTGAACTCACCAGACCTCAATCTGCCATTCCCAATACCTTATTTCTGTGGCAGGGCCTCATAAAGCTGGCAGAAAGAGAGGTTTCAGGGCTGATGTAGCTCTTTAATCAAAAAACTTCACATTCCTGCCTTATTTCAAAGACAGTCCTGGTATCATTCATTTGGAGCCAAAGGAAGAGATGGAGAGGAGCCAAAATACACAAGTTAATCTATAAATGAAACTTGGACTGGTGTGGCACACCAAATAAATTAACTAGTTTCTGGGAAATGAAAACAGCCTAACGCTGCAGAGTGGGAATTTCTGCTGGGCTTTTTGGAAATTTCAGTAAGAAGCTGACTCAAAGATGCCTGGAGAAGTTCTCTCCCTCTTTACAGATGATCTTAAACACAGCTGTGAAACTTAATTGTCTGTCCCTGAATAACAGAGTCACATAGGAAACATGAAGCATCAGTGGCTCATGACAACATTCCCTGTCCTTTTCACCATGGCGTATTGAGGAATTAAAAGAAATAAAAACCTTATATACCTGGTGAAAGGGAAACCTTGGATTTTCTGAAGCCACAGAGGAAAAAAAGGCAGCTGAAAGGCACTGACACTAACTGCAGACCTGGACTGCATCACAGTTGCTATCACACTGGTTACATACCCCAAACAGACAGAGTGCCCCAGCAGCCTGGACGATGCAGCCACCGCTGGGGCTCGCTGAGCTGGGAGAGCTCCACAGTACCTGGAGGTGCACAGCATCAAACCCTGTGGGAGCCACATTCCACAACAGCCCCAGAAGGCAGATTCCTGTCTCATTCTTATCTCCCTTGTTTTAATCAAATTTTTCTCCCAGTGGAACCTCTCCAAGCAGCTCTGTTACTTACTGGTGCTATTAATAGACCGAGCCGAGTCTTTGTCTGGGATGTGCTGGCAAAGTTCCACGGAAGTTAACGGAACCACCCTGATTTACAATGAGAATTTGGCTCTGACTTTTCACAGCAATGTGTAGAATCCAAATAACAGTTGTGGTTTGGTTTATGTCTATCAGGGAAAGTATTCTCCTGGTTTCCTATACCAGCGATTCCCAAGAAAGAGTTCCCGCATTATTCCAAGCTCCCAGTTGTGATTTACAGTGAAGTTGGCAAGACAGTGAAGAATTTTTGACCCAGGTTTTTATGATGATACCAGAAATAATAGGAAATATACTTTCAGTATCTTAGAAGGCTGAAGTAAGACCCTCTGACTGATACTGAAACACACATTAAGGAAAACTTGTCATATATCTTTTGGAGAAGATGTTTCCTAAACCCTGGCAGCAAAATCGTTGGTCTCAATGTGTTTAAAGAACTATGTGAAAATTGCCTTCTCTTTCTCATTAAGAGGAAAACATTAATGTACTTAAAACTCAACTGACATGAACAACAACGTTATTGTTCTCAGCTGGAGGTGGTAGAGCTCCCTCACTGACTGCACTCTCTCAGGGTCTCAGAAATGCTCTGGCAAGGCTAGAATACAATATGCACATTCCAGACAGGCTTGCAATATTTTCTTTGCAAACCTCTCAAAACAAGAAGAAAAATATTAAATTAAGGTATATCAGAACCAAAACCACTGGAAGATGAAGGGAAGTGTGTAAACAGTATATGGATGCAGAGAAGTCTATTAAATCCATGTCCAAGGAAGAAATAAAGCCAGCAACAACCTATTAAGATCCAAAGTTGTTTGCTTGTTGGTTTTTTAGTTGTGAAAAACAGAGGCTTACTTGACTTCCACCCATGGATTTATTACATTTACCCCAGTACTAGCTAAGAGACCCCACAGAGAGCACAGCCCTCTATGTGAAGCAGTCTGCAAATACAAAGCACACACTCTTTGCTTTATCAAACTGACAAACTAGAGAGATGAGATGAACAAACACATGGAAGAGAAACAGGGTCTCCACAGGGGATGGGGATTGTCCAATGCTTCCCAGCAGGCTGATGAATGAGGAAGAACAAAACCCAGGCGACACAGGATGTCGTGCACATGACTCTGGGCTAAGATAATGATGTCTTATGTCTCAAAACAAGATTTGTTCCAAGTTTCCACCATAATAATACTAGAAAAGTAAGATAAAATAGTAGCTGCAAGGCAGTGCCAGGAAATTCCCATTGTGCAGCTCGTGCTTTACAATTCTCAGCTCAGGTACCAGTGCTTGTCTTAAAACCTCTTCACCCAAACATAATCAAACAATCCCTAAGTGTTCAGTGCCAGTTTGTGTCCTGCTAAAGTCTCCATTCCCTCACAGACTGCTGTTAATTACTAGTCACCACATCGACCTCTTTTATTCCAGGGAAAAGTGGTTTTCATTGCACAATCTTGAATTCTTTGCAACCAGCTTAGTAGGTCAAAGCCTCATGTCTCTGGCAAATTAACTCCATAGGGAGAAAACTCAATGACTCCAGCCTGCAATCAGTTAACAGTTACCTGTATTTTAAGGGCAAGATTTCTTCTACTTACAGTGTGGTCTTGTTTGACCTTATTTAGATTGTGTTAGGTGCCATAATTAATCCATAACTCACCTGCAGTTACATGCAATGCTCACCCAAAAAACCATCACCCATCGGAAACACAGGTATTCTCTTTATCAAGTCACTGATGTATCCTCAACAACCCAAGAGAAACAGCCCCTGACACTGAGCACAGTCTGCACTACATTTGTGTACTTGTGTACTCACACAATCTTTCCATCAGAGAAGCAAGAATGAGCATTTTCCTTAATAACCACAAGCAGAGTTCAAACCTGCATGGCTCTTTCTGTAGAACTGCCTTTTTTAAACAAATGGTTCCATGAAAATAAAGGGGAAAACCACAGCTATTAATCCAGATCAAACTATAATACTCAGCTGTTCTCCAGGTAACAAGAACGACAAGTGTGCGAAACACAAAGCAAACACCGTGACCAACCTACCAATATTATGTCATGTCCATGTTTGTAAATGACCTGTTCTTTATCAAAGGGTAAACACCTGATGTAAATATTAGCTGAAATTCTTCAGATTCCAATCAGTTGCACAGTCTGCAGCACCTGACCCATCTGCTTCACAGACCACGAGATCTAATTGCTAGCAAAAGATCATCTGAGAGACTCTTGCTTTAGCAGGTGATCCTGTTGGCTGTCCCAGGGCAGCCTAGAGAGTCCAAACTCCTGGAGAAGTCAGGTACAGTCTCTGGTACCCCAGAAACCTTTGGTAAGTCATTGGTTGATGATCTAACACAAGTTCCCAGCTTTCCATCCAGGTCTTTCTGGACAGAAATCTATTCCCATGCACAACACGGATGCATTCTCAGTCACCATGTCTCAGAGACATGAGAAGTCTGCCAATAAGAGCTGCTTCTTAGACCAGACTGTGAAATATCCAGAAATTCCAGATAAAAGTCTGAACTCTTCAAATTCCATCACTTTGACATGACTGTTGAAAGGGTGGGATAAGTGGAAGGATACCACATCCAGGAGAGTGTGGCTGGCCAATCACTTTTGCGCTCAGCATCAGTGAAAGTCACTGTTTCTCTCTTAGCTGCCATTTTTTAAAATTTTAATAGATGCTTTCCCTTATTTTTTCTAGCCTATAATCAACAATTTTATCCCCTTGGACTTTCAGCTTTAGGTTTCAAACACGAAGGCAAATGCTGCAGATGACATCCCTGTCAGATGACTGGAGAAACACACTTTCTGCTAATATGTATTTTTCTTGCTAAGATTCCTGAAGACTCTAACCCAAATTTCTCATTTAGTACAATTTCCAGAACTGTCATGCAGGTAGCTAATGGTCACTGAGGATATTGTGCACCAACACCCAAGGACAAACTCTCATGTTTGGCTTACACTGGCCCTGTGCAAAGCTCATCCTGCTTCTGGGAGCCAGGGAAAGTCATAGTGACAGACAGGCTCAAAATAGAGCCTAAGTGGGATTTAGAGTAGGTTTATGCCTTGTGTGCACAGAAATAAGTTTCACCATAGTTTGAGGAATGTAAACATTTCCAGTAAAACCCACAGATACAGACTTAAGGCTTTCTGGAGCTATCAAACTGTCTTAAGAAATTTAGAGGAGGATGAAAATAATAATAATGCATTTCAGTATCCCTTTTTTGGGGGGATTGAGGGGGAAATAAATCTTCCTAAAGTTCCTCACCCAGCTATGCCGGGCTCTCTACAGA